GAACCATCAACCACCAACCAGCATCCACAAAAAAAAAAGTTGGAGACTATAACAATATGTCACCTTTTCAGGTGATGACATATATATTGAAAAACATTGTTCTGATCAAGTCGCAGTCAATCAGTTCATAATGACTTTTTATCAGACGAAAATGAACCCTCAAATGATATAACTGAATTTCATGTATGTAGCGATAACAACACTAATTATAATAATTATCATTTAACATGAAAGTATGACAGGTTTATGCCCTCATTAACTTTATATCAGACTAGGTACATGTACTCAAACAATTGTTATTACTGTTTACATACAAAACTGAGTAGGCTCAAAGAACATATAAAAACACAATTCAAACAGTTCAAGGAAAAAACGGTTTAGCTATTTCACTCCATTTCTCTTAAAAATTTGAATAAACAATCTGATTTTCTTGCATTTCCATACAATTTAGAGTGTTGACTATATGCCTATTTACTTTAATCCTCGCTGGTTCTACTCTTTATCACTATATTCTCGAATGTAAAACATAACCGTCGTGATATTTTTCAAACAGGCGAGTCAATACAACACTGTTTTTATACATGTATACTCTACTGGCATCAGGATCTCTTCTCAAAGAAAAACACAGTTTTCTTACAGAAACACACATAAAAGCAAGAGTCACATATAAATAGGGAACAAGTTTCTTTTGACTTGAATAAAGTGTCTTTATTCAAATAACCAAAAATGGCTAGACATACATCCCCACCTTGTAGTACACATTTAAAAAAGGCAAACAATTGAAACGTTTTGTAACAGGACATCTGACTTCCTTTTACAGTAGAAATCACTTAATAAAAACAACCAATCCTTCAAATGATTCAAATACCAACATAGAGTCATCATAATTATATCAGAGTGATAAGAACTTAGATATATGAGTTGTTGACAAGTTTTGTGAGTACTTATGTTACCTCATTATATGTTGACCTTATTGAATCAACTAAAAGTAATATACAGGAATGTGGAATGTGAGTACCTCACAATGAGGGAAATGTTCACTTTAAAGGTGTTTGCATAAAGCGTTCATATTCTAAGGTGTTTATCTCTATCACATGTTGCTCTTATTTAGGTGTTAACTTCACATTGTTGCATTTTTATGAACTTGCTTAGAAACAATTCCTGAAAAGTCCCTGAGATGATTAAGTGTTCGTATTTCAAGTTGTTCACATAAAGTGTTCTTATTCCAAAATGTTTGCATTTCATCTTGTCTATCTTTATTTGATATTTGATTCAATGGGAGTGGATTGAATGTATCCTAAATATGTGCTCACATTTGAACAGTTAACACTCTATTCTATTTTTTAACTTATAAGTACAAACATATGTGTGATCAATATTACATAGATTGTTAACAGATTTCAGTCCACTTTTGTCCCATGTTATCAAATGTGTCAAATGTGATGAATCATTATGTATATGAACCTTTTAACTTTTCATTGTATCATTGTGTTATATACCAAACCTTTCCTCTTCCTCGTTTATTGAATGTCGAATATAGCTCAAAAGATGGGTAAGGGCTGGTGGTAGCGGGTATAGATACTTCAAATGCTGCAGATCATCCAGGGTACCAAGGGTCCAAATAGGATCTGCTATGTTTCAAACCTAAAGCATAAGGATGCTTGTTGCCTAGCTGGGAGAATTCTCCACCAGGAGACTATGGGATATAGTTGCTTTGGCTACTTTACCTTGACATCACATTACCTCTATACAAAAATACCTAACAAACACAGACTAATAAGAGCAAGTGGGGGTAGAAGCTTGATGCAAGACTTATTCATTATTGCGTTACTTACTTAAGATAACTTACTTAGATCTACTACTTTGTTATGTCAATCAGGGGGGTTACCTACTTGTATCACTAAGTAACAATAGATAAGTAACTGAACTCAGAGGACCTTCTGTTGTTACACTACAGAAAGAGCCTGTATTGGTCTTGAACTTAAAAGCAATGTTAGCATATTACTATTGGATAACATCTTGAAGGGCATCTACAACCCTTCCTCCAATTTAAAACATACCTTAGAAAATTTGCATCAAAAATAAGAAAATGTCCGAAAAATACAAGCAATCAATGTTTTTACATGGACATTCTAATTGGCTAAGTTTGAGTGAGATCGATTCACATGACTAGGTCGTCTGTATTCTAAATTTAGAACTCTCATAAAACATCCTTCTTTTGAAATATACATTGATGCCCTTTTACCAAATGCTGTATTCAAGTGATGGCAGACACTTTAAATTATACCCGATGGCCTATACCTTCATTTCTTTACAAGCTGATCTTGAAAATATTATGACTTAGCGGTGTCACTATAGCACTGCGCAAAAATGCTTATCAAACAATCAATTTTTCATTCATTTCAAATTCTTGTCATAAGTTTGACACAAAAGTCAAGTGAGCCGCTAAATCGATTTAAAATCGTATAGAATAAATTTTTGCATCTCCGTCATGAAATTCAAATCATGTCAAAATGTTGAAACCGTGTTAAATAGACGGTTACTAAGATTTATCGCTTTTGTTTTCATGTTTTAAGTTGATACAAACTCCACTTGAATTATCATTTGTTGTATTAACAAACTTTTAAAACTTTTGAACTAAACTTTTGATAAGACAAAATCGAATGTCATTGCCAGATCTAAAATCCTCACTTCTGCGCTGGAAATCCTGCTTCTAATCAAAAACATTCTTTGGTATGACCACAAGTTTAAAGACACTGTTCCTAGAAATCGTATCTCACCAACATTTTTGAAATGACATAAATTCTTTGGTGTTTTCAGAGTGCATTTCCCACATGTGTTATCGAATCTTAACTCTTTGTGGTTTTCTTATCAAATTGTTTTCTTTGAGTTACTTGAAACATTAAATGCCTGATTGTCTTGCTTGCTTTAACACCTTTGTGAAAAACACACTTATCTTCTTAGTTTCTTACTCTTTCACCCCTTCTTGGGCAGCTGATTATTTGAACCTTAGTCTTCATGCTTGGATTTCTTGCTTGTAGTCTTACTTAAAGCTTTAGCAACCTCCTCCAAATATAACTTTCAACAAATATAATTGGGGGGGGGGGCATACACACACCTTCATACACTGATCTACATAATGAGATGGACCTCCAATGTTATAAACGATGCATAGGAATACAACCGCCTGAGAAACACTGAACTAAATACCCCAACTGAGATGTTAAAATCATGTTAGTTCGATATGACCGCTTAAATCACGAAAAACAATATTCTCAAACTTCTTTGATATCAGTCAAAATGAAACGAAACATATTTTGTACCAGTTCTAAAATGATACTTCGCACCTAAACGCAAACAAGACTAGATAACCTTGTAACATGTAACCATTAAGCGCTTATAAATTAAATAGCTGTTACCTACATGGCCGGCCCAGAACCTCCCTCGTTAAACCCTTTCCTTGCTTTTTTAGGATTTTTTGTATTATATGTATCTTTGCAATTAAGATTGTAAAAAACATAAAACGTCTGACCAAACTTGGTCCTTTCCCCCAAAACTATTCGTGACCTGAATAAGTCTATCAGAATAAAATATATTTACCTAGACATAAAAACAGCTTTTGAACATTCTACACCTGTTTCAAGACAATTAGTTTGAACATATTAAAGTACTGCACTTATGTATTGAATATAACAGACCCTTAATACAGTCATTCCATACAGTATGTAACAGTTTAATTCTAGTGAAATGTGACTGAATGTAACAGCTCTTATCCTTTACTCCTTAAGGAGAATGTAAGACTCCTTAAGGAGAATGAAAGACTCCTTCAATCTTAATCAATATAGACTCTGAGTAGCACAAAACATTTAAAGGAATAATATAAACTCTGAACTCTGAGTAGCACAAAACATTTGAAGCAATTGTCAATCTTGATACTAACCCATAAGAGGAATGTCTTACATTAGAGTTTCATGTTTCATCATGGAAAGAGAGGAAAGAAGCAGAATTAGCAAGAACTAAACTGAACAGACATGTAATCCAAACTCTAAATTGCAGTGAAATACCAAAATATCAAACTGTTCATTTAAGTTTTACTGTGTTCTCATACGTTTTACTAAGATTGGTATAATATCAATATATATAGCTGATATAATACGAAGCATTCAAATCTAATAGAGCTTAATCAAACTGTCGTGCCATGACAGAAATAGTAACATTCTTCACATTTATCATCATGGTAATCTTGTAAACTGACGAATGTTTCTATCAAAGGTTATATCAGACTTTCACCCAGAACACTTTTTTGTGAAAATGTATTTCCTTCTTTCACATATATCTAGCATATAAAACAAAAGATAATAGCATACATATTTAATATTTTTTCATAGATAAATGAACTATTCTTGAGAGAACAAGATTTTGAACTCTTTCTACTGATCTTACATTGATAAATTAAAAAGTAACATTCAGTTTGACCAAGAATATAGACAAGGTCAGATTGACCTTGGGTTTTGTTATGGATTTGATAAAGAAACGGATGTGTCAAAGTTTGATTAAGTTATTAATGTTAAGAAAAATGTAATTGAAAATAAATCGATTTGATAAAGTTATTAATTTTTAGAAAAAGCAATTGAAATAAACAAATCTCATTGGATATACTGATTTAGTTTTTCACCTGGAGTGGTAACCTAAAAAAAGAATCGGATACAGATCAGATTTTATAAATGTTCCTAACTTCAGAATTTTATATCCCACAAATCCATCAATTTCAAGTGTTGATTGTAAACTGCACTTATTAAATCTTAAATAGCATATACCATGAATCAATTTTTAGAAAACTGATGTATACTTATTGTGGTTAGAAATAAATTGGTTGGAACATTGCAAATATTCCGACCATGCATTTTTTCACTCTTGACATATTCAACCTTTGAATTGGGCTCTAAGCGAATACTTTTCCATGAAATCTAAAAAGAAACCAAAAATTTAAACCTCCTTACCCTTTCTCCATTCATTTCCCAGCTTTTTCTAATCTCTGCAGAATTCCTAAAATCTCCTGAATTTCGATTGTTTTGGTTTTGATTCTGATATCCAGAGTCATACATCCCCGCTAATAACTTGAGTCTATTTCCTGGGGCAATCCCCTGCTTTCCCTTTAGCGAACATAACCACCATCCTTCTAGACTCGCTGTATTCTGCTCCAAGACTGTTAATACATCTCCTTTCCGGAAGTCCAGTTCATCCGGAGAGTCCCCGTTATTGTCATATAGCGCCTTGGCAAGACAGAACTGAAAATACATAGTTATTAATTATTAATATTTAAAGTATTCCTTTATTATTTGCAGATAGAAATCACATATTAGTAAACTTATATTTCATTTATTGCTGAAATAAAAATGAAACATTTAATATCATATTAAGATCATCTGCTTCTTAGATCATAAATCCTTCAAATCACATTTCCTGAAGATCACATTTTCTCTAGCTAAATCTACAAAATATTTACCAAGCTTTTTCTATTGTTTTTGCTTCCACCACCACTGCTCCTATCCATCATGATAGCCTAACTAACTGAGCCAAATAATCAAACATTCACACATTCATTAATATTTTCTATTAAACTGTCCCGAAATAACCCTCCTGACGTTTGTGGCTAGTCTTTACTTGGCCTTCATTTCAGTGTGATAACCAAACATACAAGAAATCCTTCTGGCTGTACAACCAAACTAGGTTAATTTTTTTCCTTTTGACTTGAGGCTAGTCCCAGGCCAACTAGAGTACAGTGCACCGAAAAAATCCAAATTCAAATTTAAAATCTTTTAAAGTTACTTTCTTCGCTCTTATAAAGATAGTGTTTAACTTCTAAACGTCTTTATTCACTGTGCTAACCACAGTAATGTTCAAGTGTTGAATGTACAGTACGCATGTCAAGATAACTTCATCTCGAAAGTTTTATGAGGGCTCTGTACATGTTACTTTTTGTTAAACCTTCCAACAGGTTGAAAAACTGATAACCGAGGCTCTACAGTCTTTTTGTGACTCAAAATGTCTAGAAAAACTGGGTATCACCATTTGATGGGTGCATAGATATAATTGTATGTTTGTAAAATTTTGCACAATATAATTAATTGAAATAACTGGTCAATTATTAACTACTGTAGATAAGCGATAAGCCACCACTGTTTTTATAATAACAAGGCAATGTAGGAGTACTAAGTACAATATATCATATATGACGTTTAATATAAATTGATTTTTGAAATTCATGTATGCTAAAATCTATTGCTCCATCCCTTAGTTAAAATAGATGTTTACATGTCTATACCTAATATGTGAATAAACCAATTATACTTTTAAATATGACCTAGACATTGATTGAAAAGTAATGGAAATTAACCATGAAGAGAGACCTACAGACAAAACTGCATCTTTAGAAATACAAAACATTAACACATTCATAAGATTCTTGAATGAAAAATAGAAATATTCATGATGCAAAATGAAGTATTTTGGAGGGAATGTGGAATGTTTACATGTATAGTAAAGATATGGCAAAGATACAATAAACATCAATCAACTCCTACCTTAGTTATAACCATCTAAAAGATCTACATCATCATGTTTGATGTCTCTCCATTTTTATGAAGAAAATGACTAATATAAAGAATTATAAGTAAAGTATAAGTAATTCTGTTATATTTCTTATTTCCTTATTTCATGATTTATTCCTGGCTTATTTTGCCATGACTCAAACAATTATCATAGAGAAGGCATGCAACAAAGTGTCACCACCTGCCATTTGTTACACAAGTCAGCTGTCTAACAGTGTTATATACATCAAACACCAACTACCAAATACCAACCACCAGCCACAAAAAAAGCTGCAGACTATAACAATTATGATGACCATGTTTTTAATTGCAAAATAGATGAGAGACTATGAGGTATAAAGTAGATAGCCATTTATTTCCACTCTTCAATCTGTAAAAGTTGATACAATTTCAGAAGGGCGGAATATACATGCCGTGTCTCAAAAATCAAGAGAAAATTAGTAGGCAATCTCCTCCTACTTTTGACACAACACCTTTATAAAAACTCACCTTTACAGTTAAAATATAATTGAAATTTGATGTCATAAAACACGTAAACAATCAAAATGCCTTTATAAGGGGTTAAAGGAAATGCCTTGTATAGAGAGATCCAAATAAATGCCTTAGAAACACTTGTAAAGGAAATTCCCCTTTCTAACCTACCCCACTTAAATAAGAATAGATTTCCTTCAGATAAGTTGAATCATTTTTTATACTCTACATACTGACCTGCTTTTTTCACTTTGTTAAACTTGACCTGAGAATACACAGCTGAAAATAAGATGTTACCCTGGACATCTAGCCATTCCAACCTCTGACTATGGCAGAGGATTTTACAACTTTGAAGGTAATACAATCTTTATGATCTCAAATGCAGGAGTTTGAATGTGAAATTAATATAGCTACTTATAGGAAGAAAATGTAGTGTCATGATTATCTGACTATTCTGATTAGTCTAGACCAAACAATCATCTCTAAATTAAGAGTCTAGATAAAATAAGACTCTTATAAAGGGTCCTGGTATCCTTACCTCAACTTCTACTGTGTTATTTCCTTCAAAATCTGTACCCATCATTACAATCCAATCCCACTGATTCAATTGGTAAAATAAAATCCTTATATCCTATGATAAGTCCTTATATCCTATGATAAGTCCCTATATCTCCATATATCCACTGCTTTCTCTTAATATGATATGAACACTGATCTAATTCTATTTAATCTAATCTACTATCTACCATCTACTGACATAGCCTCAACATGAACCTAAAAACTGTTCCATCATCATGTGTTAAGTTTTATTCTGGAATTATCTTTGTTCCGTCTTGTCAAGACAATTGTCTGTTGAAGTATGGCAATTCAGGAAGACGGCTTCAACTGTATAAGGATATCAACATACCAAATGTCACTATGTCGCATTCCACCATCCCACATAACAAAACACCAGCACAGAAAACAACTCGGTTGTTGTGGTTTTCATTGAATAACTTGGCAGGAAAACATGGGTGATATCCATGAAATCAACATGTAATCTTTTTGGAGCCAACTGAAATGAATGATGCTTAATTGTGACATCATATTGTATCTTCCAAAAACAACAAACAATCAATGAATCAATGAAAGACAACATCGTAGAAAACCAGTAACAAATATTCTTCATATCAAAAATTACCCTCCAAATATAACATCAGTTTTATACTGCATGAACTTGAGTCTGGTTGATTCAAAATTTCAAATCATGGAAGGACAACAAAGTGGCAAATGAGACTGGGCATTAACATGCATAATGTCATCACCTGCCATTTGTTACAGATACTGACCATCAAACACCAACCACCAAATGTCAAACACCAACTGCCAAACACCATCCACAAAAAAGTTAGACTATAACAACAGGATAAAGTTGATGTGGCTACTTTACCGTAGCCTCAAATGGTCTCACCTAAACGAACGAACTCTAAAAATCATTTGGTACCCAAAAAGTTAGTTCTCAAGTGTTAGATAAAATGTGGGTGAAAGTTGCTTATGTTAGAATCGTGATGCGTTTCTATGGGAACGGTGATGAACCAGATGTTTAGGAAATACATTATCAACAAAACAAAAGAAGAACACCACATACCCTAATCCGGTTGATATATGAGATCAGTTATTTTCATTTTCGTGACCGTGAACTCCTCCACAATAAGAGCTAAAGACACAAAACGTAAATGTACACATGTTTTGGAGTTTTGATAATGTTAACAATGTTAAGTGAAGATCTATTTTACAGCTCTTTTTAAAATTATGCTTTAGTTGGAATTGAACTGAAACCCCTTATAAACTTAATGTTCTATCAGTGATTTCTTTTCAATCATGGCAATACCTTATTGGATGAAGATGTGATATCTTGCATAAGCCCATAAAATAGTGAGCTTTTATCAGCAGGGGGAGCTAATTTTTCAGAGGCACTCATTTATCAGGCCATGGGAGATCTGTTTTTTGTGAAATTACGACTAATTTTGATTTTTTGAAATGTCAATCTTCACGCGTGAATCTTTACCAAACTTCTTGACTATATATGCCAATTCAAACCTAAATAGTTGCAGATCTCAAAAACATATTTTCAAGAGATTATATGCGGGGCCTCTGAACACCATAATAAATCTAAACATCACTCTATGTGAACACTTTTTCTCAGTACCAATTTTATTATATAATACTGACTCACATATTAAGAAAATCCCCCAAATTGCTTATCCTCAAATTGGTGGCCAAGCAATGTTCAATGTTCAGATTAGACAGGTTTAACTGCATTATTATGTAGATGCGTATAAGAGTAGGGGGCACCCAGGGACTATGTTACAAGATACTATGTGCCCCCCATAGATCATTTAAATACACTTCTGACAAACTGTATATCTCTCAAGTGAACCACATGACTTAATGACCAAGAAAACATAACACTACAAGACCTATTATGGTACCAGTCATCTGGAGTTTGAATTCAAAACAAACCACTTGTTGTGGAGTGTTATTTCAAACAACACTATGTGTTTATATATAAAACAAAGCTATACTTTTATTTAATCTGGACATATCTAAAGTTATACCCAAGAGACACATTTGTGAGATAACAGATTACACCAAGTTAAACTGTATGGGTATTTTTTAAATTGTAAAAATCAGTTTAAGAAGGGTATTTTGAAATATGAATTGTGAAATCTGAAGATATTTTGAATTAATTGTGATTTATCAATTCTACCACTTAAGATTGTCACACCATATTAATATTTGCCATCTTTTGTTTTTATATTTATTTGTTTTTATATCTCCTTATCTCTTCTGAAAGGAGTGTATTTGGGGTTCCCAACCTCTGTGTAGGAGACATTCCAAAACCCTTTACAAAATATTGACTCTCATGTCACTCTTTGCTTAAAAAAACTACAGATAATCAATTGATTTATCCTATATACATTTACTCTACATTAAAATAATGTATAATTAGAACATCATTAAGTAGCTAAGAGTCATTTAAAATTTTAACTTTCATTTAAAAGTTGTGAAAGTTACAATTGAGAGTGTTATGATCTCATCAAGTGTAAAGTCATATGTTAAGTCAGAGGGTGAAGTGACTGGAGGGCCGGTAAGAATTCAGGGTAACATTCCAATAATGTTCCATAAAATATACAGTAAAACCTGTTTATCTGAACACCTCTCTA